CCGCCCCGCGCCCGGCCCGTACCCCGCGCCCCGCCCTGCGCCCCCACCGGCGCCGAGCCGCGCAGCCGGCGCCACGCAGCTCCTGCGAGCTGAGCGGACTGCGAGCCCCAACTTCCCTCGCCGAGCTTGGAGGCCGGGTCCACTCTGCGTCCCCCTCCCCCTTTCCAAGAAACTTATCCGGGAGGCTCGGGCATCGCAGTGCCCGCACCTGGAGCGACATCTCGGCATGGTTCTCCTGTCACTCTGGTGGGTCGTGACCGCGCTGGCGGAGGTCCGGATCTCCGCGGACGCACGGGTAAGTGGGACCGCAGCGGCGCCCGGCCCTTCCCGTACCCCGCGGCCCCGATCCCCGACACGGTCTGTGCGCTCCCGCCCGAGGGACGGTGTCGCTGGCTCCACGCGCAGACTTTCCCGGGCGCCTGGCCTCCGGGCGCGGATCCCAGCCTGGGGACGCCCCCGGGCCGGCCCTCCGCCTCTGACAGCCGGGGAGGGAGCGCGCGGGGTCCCCAGACTGCGTCCCGGCCCCGCCGCCTGCGCGCTCCTCCCCTTTGAACCGGTCTGGGAGCCGCTCGGTCCGGCCCAGCTCCCCGCCGGGGTCTCACTGTGAAGCCGGCGCTGGGTGGCCAAGGACAGAAGTGGGGAAGTCCAGCAGATTCCGAGGATTCTGGCCCCGTTTTAAGGCTTTTTCGTCTGTTTAAATTCAGAGACTGCTCTAATCCTGACCCAGGACGGAAGTCCTCAGAATAGACCATCGAGTGTTAGTATTTGAAATACTAAATTAAAATTAAAACTGGCAAACGACTTCCTTCCCCAAACTGTTTTTGAACTGGCTCTTGCTCCTGTCATGAGAACCGTCTGCCAACCGAGGTGCAGCCCTCAGGCACCTCTTGGTTAGTGAGCTCCTGAAAAGCATTAGTGGTAGAATAAAACGCAGGCGGTGATAAGATGAAACCCAGTAACTGTTTCTTTTTCTTACTTCTCTCTCTCCTTTCCAGGCTGGTAATGAAGAAATGGTGCAAATAGGTAAGCCTTCTCAGATGTCAGTCTTATCTTAATTGAAAGTAGGGAATGAAGGGAGCTAAGATGTTTCTGAAAAATTTCTTATTGGTGGTTAAAAACAAAAACAAAAGCCCGCAGTCCACGAACATTTCTATTCCCTTTCCGGAGGAGGGTCCCACCTTTCTCAGGCTAGGTTACAGTGATGTCAGACTTCTCCTGGCAGTTGGACTTTCAGGCATCAGTTTATTACTGTCCCTGTAGCGGCACTGGTGTGCACTTGGAGGCTGGTAGAGAAGCTGCAAGATTTGGAGACAAAACCGTCTACTCCTGTAGCATTGGGAGGAGTAGATATGATTACCACAGAAAGCAAGTTGTAAGAATTCTACGGAGAAAAGAGGAAAAATGAAGTGCAGAGGATGGAAATTTTTCTCTTAAATTTTTCCTTTGAGTAAAAACCCTTTGATGACTTCTCTTAGCCCATCTGCTTGAAATTAATCTTATAATGTGCAAGGCAGTATTAATACCTTTTGCAAATAGTACCTAAAATCTCAGTATTAATGCTGCGGGGGTTATTGTTCCCATTTTCTGGGTGAGGAGACTAAGGTTCAAAGAGTGTAGTGATTTGTAAGAGATCACTCTAAAGTCCATGGTTTTTTTGAAACTGTGCATAGTAATATATTTGTTCTGAATCCAGAGACTGCAAGTCATCAGGTAAGAAGCCTGGCTATACTCAGTCTTTTTATACACATTTTATTTGAATTACTCTAAAAGAAAATTTTACTTTTTCACAGAGTATTTTTCTCTGTGAATTCTGTATTTTTGTGAAGTGATACTGTAAAGTCATTTTTTAGGAGACGTTTTCATTACCATTGCTGTAAACACAAATCATTGGCCACGTACTAAATAGCATACACAGGGTTTGTGTGTATTACATCACTTGGATTTCCACAACCATGCTCAGAGATGGGGTCCTGGGGAGCCTATTTTACAGAGGAGGAAGTGAGGCCTGAGAAGTTGCAAGCTGCCTGTGCAGCAGGCAGCAGATCCATGCGTGTCACCTACTGGGACAAACTCAGACCAGGCCCAAAGGTGTGCGGTGCTCCTGGGCTCAGGAGGGCGCTGTCCCCATGAGCTGAGTTTAGGCTGAAGATGTTGAAGTCAAACATGTATTTGATACCTGTGACTGCCTCAGCGTATAAACTTACCTCACAGTGTGCTGTCCATGCTGGGGTGGTCCTGCTCCAAGAAAGTGAGGCGCTGTGGGCCAGGGATTTAGCTCAGTGGTTTCGCTGCCTGCTGCTCAAGCGCAAGGACCCGAGTTCGATCCCTGGTACTAAAAAGAACCCCCAAAAAACAAAACAAACAAACAAAAAGCTAGGTGCTGCACTACTGACTGCATAATGGACACTGATTATGCCTCTGTTGCTAGCAGGGAAGGATCATGGTTCCCAGTAGAAGTGGGGTTCCTGGTGAGTGTATCACTTCTATGCTGTCCTGACCTGAACTTGGGAAATCGTCTGTGCATGTGGTGCTGCTCATCCACATGTGCTGCTGCTCATCCACATGTGCTGAAATGCTCACCAGAAAGTTGTTTTATATAACTGCTTGGAGGTGCTTTTGATCAATAATAAATTAGGAAGGAATAATGCAGATTCCAGATTTTATTTATATTTATTGAACTACCAATTTGCTAGAGAAATTCCAGAGCTCTGAACAGTTTCTGAATAATTTGATGTCTGAGGAAGAAGTGAACAATTTAGTAAGAAACTGCAATTGTTTAGAAGATAAATTATTAAAAAATTCTGTCAAAATATATGTGCAGGATAGTACGTACAATCCTAGAGCTCATTGGCTGTATGCCTACAGGACACTTGCGTGGCACCAGCATCTGCATCTATGAGCACAGCATTACCAGTCCCTGCTGCCCTCCTGACACCTTCCTGGCACTGTCCCCCATGAAAGGTGACCATAGTCCACTTCTAACAGCACATGTTAATTTTGCCAGTACAGCGGTATGTTGGTGCACAAACTCAATTCTCTCAACTATTCTGGTGGAAAAACTGAACTGGATGAGAACTGAATCAAATTTCCCCATAAGGTCAACTTTGAACCTAACCACTGAATTTGATTCAATTCTCGTCGAACCCAGTTTGTGACCCAAATTCATGGAAAGAATTAAGTTCATTAGCTGAGGTACCGCTGTAGTTTTTAATAAATGGTATCACAAAGTGTGTACTCTGTTGTATCTCAGGGCACCAGTTTTTAAAACATGTCTCATACATCTTACCCCTAGACTAAGACTTGTTTAGGGTGAGGGCAATGAGTGATGGGCCCGGCAGGGTGGACTCTGCATAAGGCACATTGCCCCTGTCGTCTCCACAGGGTTGGTCTGGCCTCTCTCTCTGTCTCTCTGTCTGTCTGTCTGTCTCTCTCTCTGTCTCTCTCTGTCTCTCTGTCTCTCTCTCTCTCTCTCTCTCTCTCTCTCTCTCTCTCTCTCTCTCTCTCTCTCTCTAGTGGAGATGTGGTATGTGGGGAAGTATGATTCAGTCTAGAGAAAAACTGGAAAATAG